AAGAGCGGTACTGCAGAAGGGCTGAGTCCCAGGACTGCTGCCAGATGCAGACCATCAACACATCCTCACCCAGGAACATCTCTTGTGGTGCAGGTGGCTGCAGGGTTCCTGCATAGGACTCTTGCAATGAAGGTGTCCTTCAAGAAGGGAAGAGGGGCTGATTCTTTTTGGCAAATTTGGCTGAAATGGAAGTAGTCTGTTCCATTGGTGGGTCAGCATTGCTTTTGCTATCCTGCGATGGCAGAAACTAACTGTAGTGAGTACTGGCGAGGAGGATATAGACTATGGGAGCAGGATCTGTTTTACCTTCTGTGTAGCTGGCTGGTGCCAGTGGGTGCATAAATATCAGTGAGGGCAGAATTAGCAGTGTAAAGCAAAGGACAGCGCGGTCTATCCTAATTTCTGATCTTTGAACAGCCACTGAGGCTGTAAATCAAGGCAGAATTTCTGCCAGCTTAGTTGGTGATGCTGTAGATCAGCACGGTCTTCAGCTGAAAAAAATCCACAGAAAGAAAAGGTAGATAATGCTTTACACAAGCTGAAGGTTGGCTTGGCAATTCTGATTTCAGCTCTCAAGTACTTCCGTGGTGGTTTAAGTGGAATAATATAAACTTAATGGAAAAAATTTTGATTTTTAGTGTTGCAGAGATGTTGGAGGAGAAAGCAAGGCTTAAGTCCCAGTCTGCCTAAACCCCACTCTATAGTGAGTCTTGCTTAAATTGCAGTCTGTTGGGATTTACAGTGTTTTGGCAATAGTTTTCCAAGCTTGCTTTGTAAGTGGCTGGATTTTGCACAACTTGCATTGGTTGTGGAGAGAAGCGACGCTTCTGTGATGTACCCTGTGCACTGCAGCTTACCTGGGACCTGATTTATGCGATCACAACCCTTCACTCAGGGGAGGAGGGTAAGGAATACAGGTCATGAGCAGGCCAGGCTGGCAACTCCTTTCTTCCACTGTGACGAGTTACTCACCGAAATAGACTCATTGAGGTCTACAGATCATTATTTTCATTAGTGGTGATTCATATTAAGAGTTTCACAGTCAGGCCTGCTGGTGTAATATGTTCCTTTCCACAGTACCATTTATCTAAAGATCTCAGAATACTTTATGTACGTTAAACTTTAATCCATGTTTTACCACCAGTGAAGCAGGTTAAGGAAGATTGTTTCCATTTTGCAAATGAGGTAAACTGAGGTATGGAGCAAGAAAGTGACCTGCCCAAGACCATGCAGGTTGGCTGCAAATTTGTATACAGTGCTATCTTGCAATGAGTGTGCATTTCCCATACACGGCCTTGTTTCCCTGCCCAAGTTTTAAAGGAACATTTGATTTCCGGAGCTAAGGCTGAGCAGAAATCTGTCTATAGCTATAAATTGAGACGGTCTGATGTGAATCAGAACTTCCTCTACTGTTTGGGAATGTTTAGATTTGTCATCCCAGACTGGCCCTGACCTGAAAGGATTGGAGCAGAACTGTGGGGTTTTTTTTTTTAGGGCTGGTATCAATTGGTTGCTATAAGCTGTAGAATGAAGAGTTGGTGAAGAGCTCTGCTTCCCGTCTATTCATCCTCATCTACCTGTATAGTCAATGGGATCAGTATAGACAGCGGAAGATGAAAGTGTGATTCACCTGACTCTTTCGGTTACCTACGAGAGGATGAGATGAATTGTGACTTGAAGTCAGTTGTCTGTCGCCTGTAAAGGGAGATCATCAGGTAACTGTCTCAAGTGCACCCTGTGTCTGTAGAGAAGCAAAGTTGCATGAATGGGGACAGATTTCATTGTTAGCTGAGTTTAATCTCTTGTGGTAATTAGAGAGATGACTTCAATGGTGTGTATTATAATAGCTCCTAAAAAAACCAAAACCAAAGGGCAATGGAAACGCAGGCCCTCCTTTCCCTGTGCTGGGGAAATGCACATCAAGACTCCTAGCCCAAGGAAAGCTAAACACATGCAATTTGGGAGAAGGAACAGGTCCAAAGAGGGGAATTGACTTGCTTCTTGTCATTTAACAAGTAAATGGCAGAGCCAGGGAACGTCTTACTCTCTCCTTATTCTTTCCAGTGCTCCTGTTACTTAACCATATTGCCACTGAACCGGCCTTTATTCACCTCTGCTTCCTTCCCTGCCAGGGTCCCCTTCTCTGAGGGCATATCCCCTCATCTCCGTCATCACCAGGCAGCCCTCCGTGGTCCCTCACCTCGTCCCAGCTGCCACCAGCTCCCGTGTGCTGCCAGCCCAGCCCTCCTCGGGGACTTCGAGCTCAGAGACACCTGCCAGCGAGACCCATGCCAGCAGCGAGTCGGAGGCAGAGCAGCCCACGCCTCGGTTAAAAAAGCCACGCCGGAGTAGGACCATCTTCACAGAGCTCCAGCTGATGGGCTTGGAGAAGAAATTCCAGAAGCAGAAGTATCTGTCTACCCCTGACAGGTAGGTCAGTCTTGCAGTAGGAAAAGGAATGAGCAAAAAAGCTGCTCTAGCCCTGCTCAGCTGTTCCTATACTGAACGCTCCCTAGCGATAGCGTGCTGCCTTCTAGCTGCACAGACGTGCCTCTGCCATAGGCCAAGGACACAGGCAGATGACCGGATTCAATTTCAAGGCTACCTTTTCCTGGGATCAAAGGTGACACGAATAGATTATATCAATGAAAATGCCACATGGTGATACACATGCTTTCTAGCAGGCATCCAGGCTCCGAGATAGGCAAGGTACAGAGCCAGAAGGCTCTCTGTCTTT